AGAGAATAAAAGTAAGAGAAGAGGGAAAAGGAGGAGGAGAAAAAGAATGACAAAAAGGAGGAGTAGAACAAGAAGAAAGGAAGGGGGGGAGAAAAGAAGAAAGGAAGAGGAGGACGAGGTGTAGAAGGAAGAGTTCCAATATACTGAGATAGAGCATGAAACAGTGGTTCCATGGACCTGTTGGGGCAGGTAGGGAGATATAGGTCAAATAAAACAAAGTAATAGATATGTACAATGAACACGTCTAGAGATCTGCATAGCATGATAACTAAGGTTAATGAAATTTTATTGTATAAGAATTTTTGTTAAATAAGTAGATATTAACTGCTCTTGTTGCAAAAAATAACGTAACTATGTGAGGTGATAGATACATTACTCTGTTTCATTATGGTAACCATTTTACTGTATCTATGTATCCAGTAACACCATGTTGTAAACCTCAGGTATACACAGTAAAATTTATTGAAAAGAAGAACAAAATGCATGCATTGGAAAAAAGTAAAAGGCTAAATATATACCCCATTTTATAGGACTAAGTACCTTGTATGGCAATAGTAATTTTTCAAAAAAATGTTAGGGCTGGTTTTCTTTTCTTCTGTTCTTTCCCTTTAATGATGGATGACGTTGGGGGCTGGGGATTTAGCTCAGCGGCAAAAGCGCCTGCCTGGCAAGCGCAAGGTCGTGAGTTCGGTTCCCGGTACCGGAGAAAAACCAAAAAAAAAAAAAAAAAAAAAAAAATGATGGATGACGTTTTGACTTGACACTAAGTCTAAATTTAGCTCATATTCCATCTTAAGAGTGTTTTCTTTACTGGATTGTGGTCTCCTTTGGACTCTTTCCTTGTAAGTTTTGTCTGCTCAAGCTTGGAACAGCCCATCTTAACTAAGTGTTAGAGGAAGGCAAATTGTCATCTCAAATGAATTTCTAGTTGATGACATACAGTTCCACCCAGAATTGTGCTGGCTGGGAAAGTCTCTTCAATCATACTAGGCAGGCAAGCCTTTATGTGTGTATTCCCAGTGACAGCTACTTCAGGGGTTTCTTTTTGCAAGTAGATGAAGATGAAGCATAAATCATGAATTAATAAAATACTCTGACAGAGAAGCTGCTTCTGTATCTAAGAGGATTAATTCTTGCCTCCGCAGCCCTGAGTAGGAGAAATTAGATCATAGTTTCAAAAAACAGTCAGTACCCTTTGACTTTTCCTTCCATTTCTCTGTTTGGTTTTCAGGTTACTGTGTATGTTCTAGCGCAAGAGTCAGGAAATTACAGTCTGCTCTCTGCATTGAGAAGGACATTGTATTGCAACACAATCGTAGTCATTCACTCATGTACTGTCTGTGGCTCTTGTTCTGCTGCAGTGCCAGGACTGAGTAGTTGTGACAGAGACTAGCAGGTGACACATGAAACCAACTGTTCCATGTGGGCCTTTTGTAAGGAAAATTTGCTGAGTCCTACTTCAAGATTTTGAAATATGTCTCCATGTTGACCTATGGCTGGGTTCTCTTTAGATGAAGTCTGGAGTACAGGGTGAGTCCATGCTGTTACAGAATAGCACATTGTAAGCCAGTGACAAGAATCTATTGAATTAAATCTCCACAAAGCATCAGTGCTAAGATATCTTATTAGCAAATATGACCTAACTTTTTGCTCTTCACAACTTGTTCAGTTTGTTTTCCCTGAATACAAAAGAGTGGTCTACACTGTGAAAGAAAGGGTTGGTAAAACTGAAAATAGACCCTGTGATGAATTCAGTGAGGATGTATGAAGGATGAAAAGTTCTTAATGAGAGATAGGCGAGTTGTACCCAATGAATGGGTGAGTTCCCATGACGTCAGGCCAATGCGAAGCATGTCTATGAATGGGAGGCTATTTCCTATTTTTTTTTGCTAGTCCAGCTTCCACAGGAAGCCTTCTCCCTTACCCTCTCCTATCCAAACATTTTGTGTAACCTGGAACGGCATGACTTTGCTCAGTCTCTTTCACAATGTGTTGGCAAAGAAAAGGAAAAACTATTCAAGTTGAAACTTTACAAACTGGTATAACTTAGAGCAGTGCTCCTGAAATGTCTTTTCTTTGCAGCTCCACAGAATGACTTTATTTGTCTAGAAGGAGCTCCAGCCTCTGGCTTAAAGCAACTTTCATGACAGACCCTGGGCAGCAAGAGGTGTATGTAGAGCTCCTTGTGTGGGGTTGAACTCTAGACCGTCTCCTGAGCCTGGGGGTGTGGGAAGCAGTACCTGGCCAGCACTGAGCCTAGACCACCCACTCATTTCACACAGGCCGTGAAATGGTTATCGTATTATTCTTGTGTGACTCCTTGTGTTGACCTTGCCCTGAACAGTTGTGTGTCAAATTACTAATTATCCCTACAGCTCTGCTATGTAAATCCATTTCACTTCCACCTCCACTTTTGGAAGCCACTGCTATAACGTCAGGAGCTAGCTGGTTCCTCCAGTGCAGTGGAGTGATATTCCACTACCACAGTAATCACTACCACCAAGCAATGTTTATTTAACTAACCAATAACACCTAGTGGCCAAAATAAACTAAAACAAGAAGAAAAGGAAGAAGAAAAAGAAAGAAAGAAAAGGAAAAATCACCCTGACTGATGGTAGAAGTTGCCCTGTGTTAGACCAGTCTCATACTTCCGTTTCACTGATTGACATTGTACATGTTTCTGGGCCATATGGAAATAACAAGCCACCATCTGGGGGTTTCATCATCTTACTCTGAGGCAGGGGTGTCTCTGAAGATTATGAAATAAGGATCCAGTGTTTTTGATTCTTTTATGAACCAACTGCAAATCAGAACAAGGGTTTAAACCTAACTAATGTTTATTGCTTTTTAAATAAAATTGTTATTTGTGCATTTCCTGCTTGGCTTTTAGAAAGCTGCCATATTTTTACTTAAACCAATAAATAAGCAAAAAGACACTCATTTTTATGGATACAAAGGACAATACTATTTTGCTCATTTACTGTGCATCTATCCTATGGCAGGTGTGGTGCCAGGGATACAGTTATGAGAAAGTACAATTCAGTTCCTACCTCATGAGGTTATAGTACCTTCTTAGGCATGATTAGTTAAGTTAGAATGGATGCAAGACCGCTCATTGAAAGTGTGACAGATGCAATCATACAAATAATTACATAGTCCCATAATTTTCTCCACTTTATGACTACAAGTTTTCTATTATAATTCACTATCATAGGTTTCCTGTCAGCTTCTTTTTGGATTAGGAAAATACTTCTATATTTTGGAGAAAATGAAGAACTGTGAGATTTTTTTTTTTTTTTGTAAGTACATGTGATTCGAGTCCCTTTTTTTCTCTCAGTGTGCTTTGCCAGGCTTGCTTCTCTTGTTCCCCCTGTTTTGCTCGCCACACTCATCAGATGAAGGGGCTTTTAGTCTGTGCAAACAATCCGCATTTTCCCATGTCTCCCTTCATCCAGTCTCTCTTCCAGAGATGTGCTTCCTCCAGCGTTTCCACTTACCTAAACCTACTCATGTGCTGAGAGCCAGCTTTGACACCATGTCAATTAAACTCTGTGCTTCTGAACAAATGCTGCATTTTAAAATTCTGTTTTGATTCTAAGTGGAGAGTACAGTGTTTGTGTATTTATTTCTCTCTTCTTCTGCTAGAGTGGCCACTCACAGAAAGTAAAACTCTGCAGGAATATAGCACAACTCCCTGCTTTTATAGGTATTAAATACATGCACACTATAATATGACCTTGTGAGAAACCAAATCATTCCCAATGACCTTTCAAATTAGGCACAGTTCTTGACCTATTTTGTGGATTGGAAGCTCCATGAGCCATAGGGAGGCAATTTGTTTTAGGAATTTAAGGTGGTGCTTATTTTAGATGGCAGATGATCCCTTACATACTCTGCAGCACCCAAAGTGTGATCAGGTCAGCACGGGATCACTGGGAAGGCAGAGTTGGACAATACTTTGATCTAACATTTGCAACTTGTAAATAATTAACCCCAGGGTTGCAGCTTTTGCTATTTTCCAGGCTTCCTTCCTTGCTCTTTCCAGGCAGACAATAAAGTGGCAAAGTGGAAAAAATAGAATCTTCTTTGATACTACTCATGCCTTTTGGGTTGGATACAGATTCATCCTGTACTAGAGGAGAGGTCTGGGGTATATCAAACAACTTCATCTGTAAACTAAGAATAATAATAGTTTCCTCAGTCAAGATGAAACAATAACTCCTGTACAGTCTAGAACAGGGCTCTATATACCAAATTATATATGCTTTTTGTTTTGAAATAAAATTGTATTGGGACACAGGGACATATGGATATATTTTCTGTGTCTACCATTGGCTTTCTTCAGTGCTAAGTGGTTAAGTCATGACCAGATGGTTCAAAGACCTTAAAATATTTGAAATCTTGTCTGTTACAAGTAAAGTTTTCTGACCTTGCCTACTCTTGGACTAGGATGTGGTTTTGTCTCAGGGAGATGTTCAGTACTTATTATTTATCATAATTATTTTCTTTTTTCATCATACCTACCCTGGGATAAGAGTGAAAAGGAAAGGACCAAGAAGTTTAGGCAGAAGAGGGGTTAGGGTTTCATTTCGTGGAAGCACACACTGGAATAGAACTTGAGTCGTGACTAACACTTACCAAAAACCTGAAGAATTATATCTCTTTTTCCTAATTGAAAACTTTCAGCAGCCCTCCCTACCAGTTTTCTCCTTCCTCCTAGAAAGCACAGTGAGTCACTGTTAAAATTATTACGTAGTTCATTCTTGATAACTGTTGTCATTGGCAGAGACCATGAAAATATTCCATCAGAGCATAACACTGCCACGCCAAGCAATTTTGCTTGCATTGGTATTGATTTCAATTAAAACAAGTTATCTGAACCACTGGGCTTCCTGTTGGCTGCAGTGATTCAAGTGGAAAGCCTCTTCTGAACCTAGGATATCTGGTTACCTACAACGAGGCCCAGGCCACTGAAGTATAAACAAAACCCAAGCACCAATCAATGTAGAAGGAAATGATCTTCATTTGCCCTGCATGATATCATCTGTCTTGGGCCTAACAATTTTCTAACAATTATTGACTGTGAAGGTAGGCAAATCTTATGAATTCAACTTATTCTACATCAAGGTAGGTAGTAGAGAGTGTGTCAAAACACTTGATTTGGTTCAGTTCCTTACGTACATGTCCTTTGTTGTCTTTTCTTTCTTTATCCATTATGTCAGTCTCTGTGGAAGGAGTATGGCTGTTTCCACGAAGCATAGAATGATGCTGCTCTGTGTCTATGTGTTATTCTGGCTGGGTTCAGCTTTCATTTATTTATTTATTTTTTTGTTTTTCTCCAGTACCGGGAATCAAACTCATGACCTTGCGCTTGCCAGGCAGGCGCTGTGCCGCTGAGCTAAATCCCCAGCCCCAACTTTTGAACAGTTATTGAACAGTTATTTTGTTTTACCTGAGTGCCTAGTCCAGTCATCACAGAGGGATTCAGCAATTTGTGGTAGAAAGGGTGCTTTGGTTTAGTAGCAAAACTGACCTTTGCCATTCCCAAAAGAACATGATGGATGAGGTCAATTATACCGAACGTGTCATAATTTGTGATTTTGTAAGTTTGTGATTTTGAATTCTTGGATTTAAGGCTTGTATACTGCATCAAGTCACCTAGCTGGAAAGTGAGCTTTGGACATGTGGTACAGATTGGTTAGCTGTTGCTCAAACTACCTTCCTTTCGACACATGGCTGTACTATCTTCCCCAGCCTCTTGTGTCTGAGTTGTGGTTAACGGACACAATGAACATCTTATACGCCCTTCTAGACTTAGGCCATAAGACTCTCCCAAATGTGGTTCTCTGCCTTCTTTCCCTATCGTACAGGTGTACAGAGTGGACTCCAAGCACACAGAGGAGTGTGGCGTGGGAAAATGCAAGAAGCCTGGACTCCTGAAAAGCATGTGGAGCCGAACTTCTAGTTCCACCCGTTTGTCACTCCTAATCCATACTGAGATCAAAAGTAAAAGTTTGTTGTATTAAGCGCTACTGAGATTTTAGATTTTTTAATAGTGGTGTAGCTGGACTCATGTGCTGGCTTTCATTCTGCATGTCATTTTTGTTTCCATTTACCATCTTTACCAATGAAGTGACTTTCATTCTATTTGATGGAATAGATGATAGGCTCTACAGGTATTTGGAAATGTGAAGAGTTATGAAGATGTGTCAGAATATCTGATGAGAATTTGAGAGTTCTTAGGTGTTTTTTCATCTGCATCATTCTTGCGTTGTAGGCAACTTGTTGAATGCTAGGGTTCAATGAGAGGTTGATGTTTTGGTTCCATTTTATACATAGAACTTTCTTTTTTTTCTAGAGAGTTCTGCCTCCTCTGGGTGGATCCATTCCTGCATATTTACACCTTATATATAAAATATCAAAGTTACTGGAAAGAAGATGAGAAAATGATATATGGTTTTGTTGGACTCAGCATTTGTATTTGAGAAGGCAATAAAGATTTCTTCAAGGAGGAAAGCGTGGGAAGGTTACTTTGTGGACAAGGGATCTGCTGGTTATAGTTTCAGCATATTTTCTGTCCCTCATTTTTCTCAGTCCCATCTCTTCACTTTTTCAAAGGAAATATGGTTGAAAAATGGTACGTGATATTTCTAAGTAAAAGCTTTAATGGTGCTGCGTGATTTTTCTGTGCGATAGTTATGACCCAGACAGGGGCTAGCTACACTTTTAATGTTGATTACAGAATGAGGGTGTTGCAGACTCAGACCATGACAAACACAAACAGGAGCAAAGCATAAACCTTTATGGCTAAAATTATGAAGATTTTAGAGACACCTATTTCTGCCATTTAGTCTAAGTTGATGACACACCAGGACTTAGAGAGTTTTGTTAACTTCCCTAACATGATGAGACTGGTAAGCTGTGGAGTGAGGGTTTGAACCCAGGAAGTCTAATTGCAGAACCTGTACTTACAGCTACTCCTGTGTAGGAGGAGGAATTTCCTGGCCTTTGTGTGTAGGACAGACTGGAACAGGGAGAGATTACAGACAAAGAGAACATTTAGGAGCAATCTAAATATGAGGGTATGAGAATTTGGAAGGGGATGCCTACTTAGGGACTATGATTTGTGTGGAGTAGCTGCCTCATAAATAACACTTGAAAAGGTAAATGAATGAGTTTTCCCACTACAGGTGCCAGTAAGTGCTGCTGTCACCACCACGTTCTGGGGAGTCATGTTCTTTACCGTAATTTTTTGCTTTGCCCACACATCCTTGTTGGCAAGGTCTGTGAATCACAGACGTCTTCCTTGGGGGTGGCTGCCCAGCAGCTCAGTGCAGACAGAGGACGGTCAGGCACTCTGCTCTTTTGCAACCTCTTCCATGAGCTCTGTCAAGGCTCTTTGTCCCTTTTTCCCATCTGTTCCTTTGTGAGGTCCGCACTAGCAAGAGAATTTAATCTGACCTTCTTTCATGCTTCTTCCAGTGTCATGGCAGAAAGTCTTCTTGGCATTATCTTTTCTCCTCCCCTTTACCTCAGTATAGAGAGCTCTTCCCAGTCCTGGTTGCAGCCCAGGAAGTTTATACTTGTAATCCCATGGAAAAGTTATTGGAATTGTAATGAGTTAACTCAGATCTACCATTTCCAGTGCAACCCATGGCATAAATAAAGACACAATAATCTATCCAAAGTGGTGGGGAGTTAAGGGGGTCCCTAGTCTGACCACAGTGATGGCTATCTGGAACAAAGGCCTTTACCCAGGACTGAGCCCAGATTTTATTCATTCATGAAGAAGGGAGGGGCTTGAGGATGAGTGACTGTGAGAAAGGCAGGAAGTATGTGACTGCCTTGAGCTGTGCTAGGTAGGAGACCCTAAATCATCTCTGCAATATGCAGAGAGAAGGATATGCAGAAGGAGTGATCTGCATAACACAAATGAGATAGTATCTAATGCTTTGGGGTAGGTGCTTCAGCTCTGATGTGTAATCTTTCAAGCCCCAGGAAGTCATGGTGGTGGGGTGGGGAGGTGGGGGGTGGGGGGATGTTCTGGGAAACACACCTGCAGTCTTCGAAGACTACCAATAGCACCTCCACTGGATTGATATGCATTGCTTGGGCTATGCATTGCTTGGGCTGGGGATATAGCTCAGTGGTGCAGTGTCTGCCTAGCAAGTGTGAGGTCCTGAGTTTGATTCCCAGCAGCACATACACACACACACAAAAACAAAAAGCAAACAAAAAAACACACACAAAAAAACGAATTGTGAGATATGCTTAAAGCCAACGGAGGGGATAAGGAAAAGCCCTTGCCACCTCTGTACATATCAATACAAGAAAATAGGGTCAAGCTCAGCCAAAATGGAGACTATCCTCTTTCAAGGAGAGTCACCCAGGTGGTCCTCCACACCTCACTTTGGCCTTGGCCTTTGGCATTAAGAATAGTACAAAGTTTTATTAAAAGACGGAAAGTGTTAGCTTGATCTACCTGTTCCACAATGTAAAACACCTATCATTGTTCCACAATGTAAAACTTCATGTTGTAAACTACAAATCTATACCGTTTTCACTTTTCAATTAAAAAAGGACAGAAAGTGTCTTGTTGTGGACTAACTAATAGTCAACTTATAACACCCAGCTGAACTGAATCAGTAAGGTGCTAGGTGTGGAAGGCCCACCTGAGGATTGTTGACAGCAGCTAAAAGGAGAACTGGAAGGGAAGATGGTATGCTGTTGATTCTCCTGGAGAAGTTTGTCATGCTGACTTTCCTGATATGAACTCAGTTCTTATCACTGGAGGAACTCAGGTCCTTGCTGTTGCTGAGGATGGCTGCTGTTCTTTTCAGGGGAGCTCTGTTCCTTACCTTGAGCATGGCTTCCTGGCTGTAGCGCAGATCCCTCAGCCTGCTGGAACAGATCCTTCATCAGACTGGCCGACTTTCTAGCTTCCACCACTGACTTTTGGGCCTTCCCAGTGCAGATCCACCATACAGACTTGCAGGAGACATTGTCAGGGGCTCTAGGTCTCCAGCTGGACTTTTGGAGGACATTGCTATGGGTTTTATATCATCAGCTGGACTTGTGCAGGACATTGCCACGGGATCCAGGCCTGCAGCTGGATTCTTTGAGTCTCTAGTGCATGCATCAATCTCCTGTATTCTTTTGCATTTGACTTCTTGGCTGAGTATTATAAAATAATTCTATAAATTACATGCTCTGTATTAAATCTATTTCCTTGCAAACACTGAATACAACATGTCTCTTCAGTTTTATAGCTGCAATTCTTTTCCATTTTCTTGGTATATGTTCACAATGCATAATAATTATGTTCATTTTAGGGAATTTGTACATATGTAAATTGTATCTTGATCATTTTTATCTCTTCCCCTCTTTCACCCCTCTATTCACCCTCTTTCCCCTTTTCTGGTCTTTTACTTCATCTTCACAAAGTCTTCCTCCCTTTTTTCTACCACGTGTCCTTTAGTTCACTCCTTAAATTATTGTATGTATATTTTGGGTTTCTTATATAGGAGAAATTACACAAATTTATTATTTTGAGCCTGATTTATTTCACTAAACATTATGGTCTCAAGATCCATCCATTTTGCTAAAAATGACTCAAATTCATTTATGTTTATGGCTAAATAGTACTCCATTATATATATATGTTCAGCACATATTCTTCATATATTTGGCTATTGATGGGTATCTAGGCTGTTCACATAGTTTAGCTATTATAAATTTTACTTCTGTGAACATGAGTACATATGTCACTGTAGTATGATGTCATTTTAACTGTTTCTGGAAGATACCAGAAAGAGGTATAGCTGGGTCAAATGGAATTTCTACTTTTAGTTTTGAGAAGAATTTCTATACAGATTTCCCTGTGGTTGGATTAGTTTACATTCTCACCAACAATGTAGGAGGATTCCCTTTTTTCACTAATAGCTGCAATTCTTTTCTGATTCAGGGGCACATTTCAAGTCTATATATCCTGCTGCTGGAATCATCATGCTACAGAGGGAGTAAGCAACAGTAAAACCTGTGGTTTCTCTATGTAGGTCTAAGAAAGGGCTACCTATGTCAGTAGTTGTTAGAAAAGATATGGAAGGGGCTGGGGATTTAGCTCAGCGGCAAAGCGCCTGCCTGGCAAGCTCGGTTCCCGGTACCGGAAAAAAAAAAAAAAAAAAAAAAAAAAAAAAAGAAAAGATATGGAGAATAAAGGACAGAAAGTGAGAAGACACAAGGAATGAGGTACAAAAGAAAGAAAAGAACGATAAGAAATAAAATATATCAATTTTACCCTTTGCTAAAAGCATGCATTCTTAACTTCAAGATGTCTAATTAGTACTATTTTTTTAAAAATTCATATGACAGAAGAAGATCTCACTTTCTGTGGATGAAACTAGTATGCTATGCTTGAATGCAATTGTGTAAGAATGAACAATTTTATAAAATACCCAAAACAAGTTTTCATAACCCAGCTAAGTTTTAGAAATAGTAGTTTAATTTGAAAAACATATTTCTAGTAGGTAGTGTGCCCCTAGTAATATGATCATCTTATAAGCTATGTAACTGACTTGGAATGAACATTCAGGAGAAGCTGAGTAAAGTTTATGGAATAGCGAATAGCGTAATTTCATACTGAACACCAAATCTGTTCCAAGTGTCCCTTCAGTAGCTACTGAGTTTCAATTCATACATTAATTCTGGAGAACACAACGAAGAAAAAGACACAGCCCTGCTGGGAGCGGAGGACACATCCAGGAAATCAGATAGAAGAGAACTCGTAGTGGGAATACCAGAAGACTCCCTGGGTGATGGAAGAGATATGGTGAATTTTGAATGAGTAGAACTCTGCAGTTAGAAGAAAGAGAAGCCTCTGAGAAACTATGGGTTGTTCAGAACTGCTAAAGTTTAGAATGTGAAGCAATGAGTAGTGCCTAATGAGAATGTAAACTTAGCAGGAATTCCTTAGTAACTTTGCATGGTAGTTACACTTATGTTATTCTACAAAAAGGCACCTATTCAAGAATAGTTCAGATAAAACTGTGAAAAAAACCACCAGTATGTTTGATGTCATTCCCTGGGTGTAGTATTTCTTATATTCTTACATGTATTTTGTGCAATATTTGCACATGGTAAAAAGCTAAGTACCCAAGAAGTGTATATTTAAATGTTAAGTATAGGGTTTGGAAATGATGTCCTACAAATTATTCAAGGAAGAAGAAAAATCTCTGAAGTGGGAAGGTGTTCTTTCCTCTTCTGTTATTCTTAATGGTCTGTTGTTACTTGATAGTCCTTCTCTCTTCTTCCCTACCTTCCTTTCCTTCCATGACTCTGTGGTCTCCTAGTGTTAGGAAAAATGCCACGAACCGGGAGTATAGTGTTGAGCATAAATAAACAGATATAATTATCTCCCCCAACAAAGTAATGTTAGTGATAAGTGCACCCCAGAAAGCATGTCCTATATAAAAGGATGGGCA